AGAATCGCACAAAGATATGCAGGTTATTGAAAATGATTTTCTTATTAACCATTTCAGGCTGAATTAACGCTACCAGGCGTTCATGAATGGAACGAAGATATTGAAGATGATAATGCAAATGACGAGCATGAAGAAGAAGACGATTCCGATGAAGGCAGCGTATCGGAGGGAGAGGAGAAAACTAAGCGGACTGAAGCAGTTGAAATTTTCAACAAGGCGATAAGGTGATCTGGTCATGAAGACGTCAATCCAAATGATGTAAATGTACTAAGACGTCTAAGAGRGAAAGCTGTGCTCCAACTTTTAGAAACACAGAAGATACAGAAAAGGATGACTGATTTTTTCAAATAAAACCTAGATTTGGTATAACATGTGTTACGTAAAAATGTATAAGTAATGAAAACATGAATAAAATGTGAATTCCAATGTATAAATACGTACTATCCTATTCTTTTGGAGCATCCCATAATGTGAACACTTTCGATAATGTGAACTGCCTTGGTTTTAATTAGGTCGGATTATCGAGCGTGCGCTGTATTAATCTTTTCTTTCAGACAATATTATCATTTTATAAAATTAATCTTTATTTTCATTTTAGATATAAAGAATGTTATTTAATTATTCTTTTTTTTCAGATAATAATAATTTTTTTATTGAACCTATGTACATATTTGTAATTCTGTAAAAATTGTAGAAATGTTTAGAACTTTAAAAATATTTTAAATTAGTCAAGAGAAAATGCAACCCTGCATCAGCTGTCGATTGGGGATATTAGAGCAGGTCAGATATACTTTATACTGCTGAATGAGCGCAACAGAGATGTATGATCACATGTATATGTACGTTTGAGGGGAAAAGTGGTTTGAATCAAGTGGCCTATGGCAAGCTCACCACTTTCACAGCTCTTGAGGGTTTGAAAACCTACTGTTTTACTAGTTTTTTCACCACTTTTGGCTGACAGGGATTACACATTTTTCTCTAGGCCGATTGAAATACGCAAGTCAATCGCGTTTTCAAAACAAGAAGGGAACTTGGATGAATATTATGTGATTTTTTAACAATATTATGCAAATATTGAATTCTTTTGTTTTTATAGCATTGAAAATAGCAGCAGTTTAAACAATATAATCAGAAGCGAAGAAATATAAATTGTTAAGAGTTTGTTTTATGTCTTAAAGCGGTTTGCACAGTCCAATAAAATATGTAAAAATAAATGTGTTTTATAGATTTAAGAAATTTTTTTATAGTGTAAATGATCAGATAATATTAGTGTTCTTTTCGGATATTATTATCATTTCCAACTAATTAATCTTTTCTTTTATTCTAATTTATCTATGCTTTCGGAGTCAATTCTATATACGTTCAGTAAGTTTTTTTATTAAATATATTTGTATACCTATGTTCATATATTAAATATTTAGGTAAAACTACAATTTTGTTAATAATAATTATTAGCACTAATACAATTAACATTAGTACTGTAAAGATTTTATATTATTAGAGAATAAATATAAAAATTTAAATGTTTGTTTAGAATTTTAAAATTATTTTAAACTAGGAATCAGAAAATGCAACCCTATATCAGCTGTCAGTTGGGGATATTAGAGCAGCTCAGTTATCCTTTTAAATGACACGGCTGAGTGAGCGCAACGGAGATGTATGATGACATGTATAATACGTACGTGTAAGCAGAAAACTGGTTAGAGTCTGCACAGCGCCTATGGTAAGCTCACCAATTTTTTAAGGGTTGGAAACCTAGTGTTTTGCTAGCTTTTTTTTTACCATTTTTATCTGGCAGTGCAATTACATATATTTCCTTCAATTAATAGTACGTGTGTGAGTTTTCCATTATAGCATTTAATATCTAGAACGAAAAAAGGTAAGGAAGTTTTGAAAATATTTGTAAATACATTTAATTAATTCCTAAATCTGTCGCTGTAGAAATCTTCGGATGCAATTACATCAGCAGCAGAAACAGAAGAACAATTTTGTTTGGTGAGTTTTTTTCAATGAATGTAATTGGCGAGTGCGGCTGGTACATATTTTTTGGCGGTTTATGAAGAAAACTATTATGTTTAACCAGTGCGGGCGGTTAACTAATGTTTGTTTTATGTTATTAATGTGGTAAATAGGTAAACAAAATATGACTGCAAGACAGTGAATTGCTAAAGGCGGCGTGAACAGTTGTAAGACGGCAGCGGCATATAATGGTCGGCATGCACACAAAACAACACAGCTGTCCATTTTGAATGTACACAGTTTCGATGTTGCCATACTAATACGTTTCACTTCTATGAAATTTTAATATTTTGTTCAAAGTGAAATTTTTAAGCAAAAAATTAGTAAATAGGTAAATTTATTTGTTTAAAAATATCAATCGTTATTACTAATGATATAACAGAGCTATTTTATGCTTCTCTTTGTAAAATAACGTCAGGTTTGCTAGAGTTTTAAAGAATTTTACATACTAGTGGCATCACTACTCCTCTCTACTGTCGTCGGCAATATTAGAAATACTTTTTTATTCAGCGAGGTCGAGAGCTGTCGTGTAGTCGTGCAGCTGTCTAAATAACTGTGTCCATCAAAATGTGTGTATTTTAATATTCGACAGCTATCTCTTGAAGTCTGTCGCATCCTTTGTGTTTCCAACATAAAACGGCCTGCGCAGTCGAAATTTTATGTGAAAACAAATGTTTGTTTTATATTTGAAAATGAAATTGTCGTACTTTTTAATTCTAGTGATATTAAAATTATAAATAAATTTTGATGCTGGTGAATTTTTTTATTAATTAATTTATTTTTTCCAGATTGTTTTCTCTTATGAAGGAATTCCACCGGCGAGGGTTTTTATATATCCCTTCATATTACATTATCATTAGACATATTTTTAAAATTTAAAATGAACAAAAGGACATTTTCAAACCTTTTAAGTAAGGAGAAGGCAAGTTTTAATGCTTCAGTTGCGAAATTTCGCAAATTGAATGAAAGTAGTAATATTTCAAAAAGCGATAATATACCATCCACAAGCAGGACAGCAGTTTCTAAATTCATTTTCTGTGATGTATCAGATAATTTTAAAGAAGCAACTAATTTTGAAATTGAAGAGGAACTGGAGTATGGTAGTGATAAGGAATTTTTGCCAGAATCCCCCTCCTCGGATACTATTAATGCAAAAGAGCGAGACGGTAAACCGACTTTATTTTACTTATGTACATATATGTTTTTCATTCTAATAATTGTAACTTTCTTTATAGAAGGAGAAATGAGCGAACCCAATAAAAATGCAAATACTGCGATGGTACTGCAACAAATTTTGGACACCCTTGATAGGATGGAATCTGGGCAAGAGGAAATAATAAAACGACTTTCAGCGGTAGAAAATGCTCTTACTGAAAAGGTATTTATTGAAATAAAATTATGTTTTAATATTATTTCATACTTATTATAAATTTCAGATGCCCGAACGTGCTGAGGTGCAAGCGCAAAGCCAATTGTTGCGAGAATTTAAGGTGCTCTCAGAAAAAACCCACCGCAGTGTAAGCCGCATCACTGGCGACGTGGTGAGTGAGGAACACCTTTTATTACTAAGCTTGCTCCCCATGTCGTCAGAGGAAACAGTGTTGAAGGTGGAGGAACACCTTACAGACAAAGCTCACGCCGACGCTATGGTAAATTTGTCTTTCTACTATATATATATATATAAATATATATTTATAATTATACATTTATAGGCGGCGATTATCCTCAACCTAAAATCTACCAAGAAGTCGATTGAAAAGGTGTTGCGGTCACTATTTAGCGACGAGTTGATATGGTTGTATAACTGCGATGGAAAGGCGGGCAAAAGGGCATTAACAAAATTAAAAATAGTGGATCTCACTTTCGGTAAATATCAAAATATTTTGACACATTCACTTATTTAATTATTAATGTTTTATATTTATTAAATAGCTGCATTTGCAAGTATGCAGATTCATAAAACTTCAGTTATAAGGCGTTACGTAACTTTAAGTCACAATAGATATAAACATATTAGGCGTTATGTGGAAAAAGCTCTTACTAAAAAGGTATTTATTGAAATAAAATTATATTTTAAAATTACTTCATACTTGTTTTAAATTTCAGAAACCCGAAGGTGCTGAGGTGCAAGCGCGAAGACAATTGTTGCGGGAATGTAAGGTGCCCTCAGGAAAAACCCACCGCAGTGTAAGCCGCATCACTGGCGATGTGGTGGATGACGAGCAGCTTAATGTGGAAAATGCTC